CTTTTCATGTCTATTTAACACTGATGGATGATTTTTTTTTAAATGAGTTCAGATATTACCGATTTGAAGGAGATTTATGACTACATTTCAGATAATCATGACGACGCTCTCAAGTCTGACACTGTACTAGTTACTGGTACTAGTGTGAATACTGAACATATAGAATTAATTGATTCGCAAGAAACGCAAGCTCCGTTACTGCGAGATATTTCTGTTGAGAGTAGTGAACACTTAAGTGATCAATCGCATGACGATTTATGTCGTGGAACCCTAAGGTCAGGTAATATGTACAATACAACACCTGATTACGGGCAGGATACCTCTCAGTCTACAGAATCTCACAGTGTGTCAGAGATTAATTTTCCTCTTGCATCCAAGCATCTTTCAGTTAGATCTAAGTTGGCTAGCAACTCACTAGCCATGGCTACATCTAATATCAGCATGTTATCTTTCTAACCAACCTAACATTGTTCAAGTATTGCCGCGCAGTGATCGCATTCGCGAGTTTATTGCGGAGGACGACTATCGTGTAACCACATTTTTAAAGTCATGTGTAAATGAAATGAAAAACATTCATATAACAGGTGATGATGAACGCAAAGCGTTTGTACGCGGTCACACCAAAGAAAGAAGTTACGCTTGCCAGCATTTGCACGCTAGTGGTCTTGCACATCGTACTTATGCGAAGTTGAAGAAGCCTTTAATTGGTCTATTTGAATTAGGCGCACAGAAGGGACAACTGAACTGGATGCTTAGGTGGATTGATCATCTGCCACGGACGATTTGCGCAGAAGACACGATGAGAAGTGTTTCCCTTGCTGGCGAGGTCTGTCAAGATATCTTAACCAATTTTGGTGGTTCACCCTGGGTGGACAAATACAATAATATGTCTCGGGACAATTTTGCACAATTAATGGAGTTCCTTGGTTTCATCCTAACAATCCGTGACCCGGCATATATTCATACAAAGACACCTGATTATAAGCCCGATGAGGACATTTTGGATTATGCAGCCAAGATCGCTATTAAATCATCACGTACTCCCCTAGCAAGGACAGTAACACCTGTAGCGTCAATTCAGCAACGAGTTCCTAAGAACTCAGCAACAAAGAAGTAACATTTAGTATGCACACATTGCAAGAAAAATGGTCATACTCTTGATTTTTGTTACCAACTTCAACGAAGTGGTGCTAAGCCGAAAAACAAACCAACCCCTCAACCACCACAGCGACTAGGCCCACCTAAGACTTTTGCAACAGCTGCTCAAACCAGGTCTGCTTCAGACCAGACAGCTGACGTGTGGTGTTTATACCATGATTTCCCACCCATACTACGGAGGATTGTGTAGCATTCTGGCGATGTAGACAAATAGGGATGGAGTTACCCCAGGTATCCCACCACGGTAAGTCGAGTCGTCGCTTTCACAAGAAGTCGGGGGAAGACCAACGTCAGTCCCAGACCGACATAGGGTAGCTATACCACTACCAACACGCGACAACGCTTCTGTTGCAGCCTCGTTAATAGCGACGCTAACCAAAGCGGAAGTGTTATCAATTCTGGCGAGGGTTGGGTCAGTCAAGTTAGCGTTAGACATTGATACGGGTGCTTGTGCAAACGTACTTTCTTTGGCAACCTATCAAGAAGAGTTACAACTTAGATCCCCTCACAGAGAATTTTTGATTCGACCTACTGACACCGATCTCTCAGGAGTTTCCGATACTCAGCTGGACATAACAGGAATGGTAACACTACCACTACGTTTTTCTAGACGTGGTATATCCTTTTCTGCAGATTTTTTTTATAGTCCTAGATCTTAATTTACCAGCTGACGGTTTAATAGGTCTTCCAACTCTTAAAACTAATTTGATAGATGTTCAGCCAAGCAAACATACTATCACTGTTAATGGTATTTCCTACAGCGCCATGCACACGTCTGTGTCATTGCTCTCCTCAAGGGTGAATTTGTTGTCCAAGCTCCTACTACGAGGACGATGGATTCTGAGTCAAAGCGAGTCCAAGACCTCACATACTCACTTCCCCAGCATGATTATAGCAGTAATAGTTGGACGATCGTACCTGCAGTTTTAACGGGTACTCTCCATTTTCAGAAAGAGGACATCACCAAAGCCACTGATGTTTTACCTAAAGTGTCCACGGGGACGGATGTAGTCTGTCTTACGGAAACATGCAAGGTGAAAGGCTTATCGTGCGAATCTACATTGAGCACGATTCGTCCTGGTGGTTTAACAGACGTTCTAGTTCTCAACAGAACAGGTGCGTTACGAATATTGAAAGAAGGATGTTATTTGTGTGATTTTCTAGTTTATCATAAAAATGTTGCCCAACAGCCTATGCAATTTCCAATTGGTAGTGGTTCACCTTCAATTAAACAAACCAGACAGGAGAGGATAGATCAAATAACACCAAATGCTAAAGTAATTGATCACCCTCAAGGCAAGACTAGGCTCCTGGAGTTCCTTGCCGACTACCGAAACATTGTAGCTTTACCTGGGGGACAGCTAGGTCACACAAATTTAACCTCACATTACATATCCCTAAAACAAGGCACAAACCCAATTTGCATACCAGCTTACCGACTACCACATAGCCAGCGCGCTGTAGTCCAGGACATGGTTCAGGATATGTTGGATCAAGAGGTTATCACACATTCAAAATCCCCTTTCACTAGTCCACTATTTTTAGTCCTGAAGAAGGCTGGAGTGGCACCCAGTAATTGATTTTAAGCGCGTCAATGAAAATACTAGCCCAGCTAGGTACCCAATGCCTGTCTTGAGTGATATTTTACAATACTTATGCAAGGATAATGCTGTATTTGGCAACCTTGATTTGCTTAGCGGTTATTGGCAAATACCTCTGGATGAAAAATCTCGAGAGATTACTGCTTTTAGTACGCCATTGGGTCATTTTGAATTTCTGCTGGTGCCTTTCTGTCTCAGAAATACCCCACTGACTTTTCAAAGGATGATCAATACCGTGTTTGCAGGGTTGATAGGGACCACAGTATGTGCCAACTTAGATGAACTCATCGCAGTCAGTAAGGGTGTAGATACACATATTGCTAAACTCCGTGAAGCTTTCCAAAAACTTACTACAGCAGGACTCAAAGTCAAACTTTCTAAAAGTGAATTTTAAAAATCCAGAATCCAATTCCTTGGTCATTTAGTTGACGGTGACGGCATTCATACAGTTGATGACAAGGTTAAGGCTGTTGCCCAGTTCCCACGTCCAACAACTGTTGATAAAGTACGTAGTTTTCTCGGTTTATCTGGGTATTATCGTTCTTTTATTAAAGGTTATGTGACATTAGCTTCACCCTTGACTAAGATACTTAGGAAGGATGCAACTTTTGTATGAAATGCTGAGCAAGAAGATAGTTTTAGTGCATTGAAGGCAGTACTTACCAATGCCCCTGTTTTAGCATTTCCTGACTACTCTCAAAAATTTACTCTGTGTACCGACGCCTCAATACAGGGAATCGGTGCTGTACTTATGCAGCTGGACGCACGAGGAAAATATGGAGTGATTGCTTTTGCAAGTCTTAAACTTAATGATGCCGAAACACGTTATTCAGTAACGTATCTAGAAACGTTAGCTGTTGTTTGGGCAATGAAGAAGTTTAAAGACATAATTTTTGGTTATAAAATAACCATCTATACAGATCACGTGACAGTGACAGAACTGTTTCACGGTAAAAATCTTTCAGGTAGACTAGCACGCTGGTATCTGACCATTCAAGAGTTTGAACCCTTATTTACCGGGACGAGCGAATGTGGTCGCAGACGCTTTGTCCAGAAACAGCACCAGTGATGCCTCTATCATCGTTCACCCACTCGCAATTAAGGAATGAACAACGACTCGATCCATTGTGGTCTACAGTAATTTTCGCTCGAGAGTCGGAGGAGAGGGCTAAGCTTCCCAAGTTACCTCTTCTGTTCAATCAATTTGAATAATAATAATAATAATAATAATAATAATAATAATAATAATAAAAATAATAATAATAATAATAATAATAGGATAATAATAATAATAATAATAATAATAATAGGATAATAATAATAATAATAATAATAATAATAATAATAATAATAATAATAATAATAATAATAATAATAGGATAATAATAATAATAATAACAATAACAATAATAATAATAATAATAAATAATAATAATAATAATAATAATAATAATAATAATAATAATAATAATAATAATAATAATATAATAATAATAATAATAATAATAATAATAATAGGATAATAATAATAATAATAATAATAATAATAATAATAATAATAATAATAATAGGATAATAATAATAATAATAACAACAATAATAATAATAATAATAATAATAATAATAATAATAATAATAATAATAATAATAGTAGGAAAATAATAATAATAATAATAATAATAATAATAATAATAATAATAATAATAATAGTAGGAAAATAATAATAATAATAATAATAATAATAATAATAATAATAACAACAACAACAACAACAACAACAACAACAACAACAACACCAGCACCAACACCAACACCAACACCATCACCAACAACAACAACAACAACAACAACAACAATAATAATAATAATAATAATAATAATAACAATAATAATAACAATAACAATAACAATAACAATAATAATAACAATAATAATAACAAAAATAATAATAATAATAATAATAATAATAATAATAATAATAATAATAATAATAATAATAATAATAATAATAATAATAAATACACTAATAATAATAATATTAAATACAATAATAATAATAATAAAAATAATAATAATAATAAAAATATAATAATAATAATAATAATAATAATAATAATAATAATAATAATAATAATAATAATAATAATAATAATAACAACATGCACTTTCACCTCGGTACAATAAACACAAGGAGTGATGAACACTCCCTCAGGTAAGTGGACAAATTCATTAGTGACTCACCGTAATAAACATCCTGCAGGTGTTGGGGATCCCTGGCGTTGACGATGATCCTCCACAGGTACACCAACACCACCAACATTGACGAGCACTGAAGGTACACGCAACAGTCAATCATTGAAGGTACACTCAACAGTCAGTGATTGAAGGTAGTTTCAACAGTTAGTCATTGAAGGTACACTCAACAGTAAGTGAGTAAAGGTGTACTGAACAGTTAGACAGTAAAAGTACACTCAATAGTCACTCATTCAAGGTACACTCAACAGTCATTCATTGAGGGTACACTCAACAGTCAATCATTGAACTACAACTGTCCTTGATTGAAGGTACACTTAACAGTCAATCACTCAAGGTACACTCAACAGTCACTCACTAAAGGAAACGTAACAATCAGTCACTGATGGTACAATCAACATTCAATCATTGAATGTATGCTCCACAGTCTGTGTCTGAAGGTACACTCAACAGTCAACAGTCACTCATTGAAGGTACACTCAACAGTCATCGCTCACCGGTCATTCAACAAACACCACTCACTAGTCCCTCACTAGTGACATACCAATCACGACTCACCAGTTACTCATTAATCACTATTCACTCACAATCCCCATTCACCCAGTCACCACTCACTTACCATTTGCCATTCACCAGTCACTCACCACTAGTTACTCACCAATCACCACACACCATTCAGTAATCACTAGTTACTTACTAATCACTCACTAGTCAACAGTCACTCACCACTCACCAGCCATTCACCAAGTGCTCACTAGGCATCAGTCAATTTATCACTCACTAGTCACTCATCACTCACAAGTTGCTCATCACTCACCAGTTGCTCATCACTCACCAGCTGCTCATTACCCATCAGTTGCTCATCACTCACCATTTACATAATACTCACTGATCATTAGTGACTCACTACACATCACTCACCAGTCACTCACCTCTCACTAGTTGATAGTTACTCACCACTCATTCAACACCCACTAGTCATTAGTTACTCACCAGTCACCGTACACATCATTTACCTATAATCACCATTCACCCCCACTCACCACTCACCAGTCACTCGTCACTCACTACTCATTCAACACTCACTAGTGATTCACCACTCACGTCACATTCACCACTCATCTCTCACTCACCACTCACCTCTCATCTCGCCACTTACTACTCAATTAACATTCACTTGTCACTCACCATTTACCACAGACCACTCACCAGTCACTCACCAGTTACTCACCACTCACTTCACACTCACCACCCACCTCTCACTCATCACAAACCAGTCACTCAGCGGCCTACATCCTCTTCACACACATTGACAGAACCTCCATCCATATAAATTCTATCTTCATGTGTAGATATTTTGAGTATGTATTTCAGAAATTATGATAAAATTTGAATAAACATCGTCCTTTAATATGTGGGAAGCGTAGATGTGTTCCCTGTGATGTGATATATAACATGATAATTATAAACTTTTGTTTTTTTAATATTGAACCCGATATATTATGTTATTGGGTTATTGAAGTGCTGACGTCATTTGCTGTTTTAACAAAAAAAATCGAGATTACGGAAATAAAATCTCGTAGTATTTGATATTACGATTTAAATGTTAGAGCTTTTTAAAATACGGCACAAATTGTGCATATTTTCATATCTTGTGTCATAAAAATGTGCATGTTTTCATTTTAAGTCATAAGTATGTTGAGATTTTTATCTTAAGATGGAATTGTCTTTAATTTTGATATTACTAAAATAAATATTCAAAAAAATTTTTACAAGACAAAATTATTCTAACCTACATACCCTCAGACATATAGAAATAAAAGATCTTCTCTCTTCAAGCGTGTGTGTGTGTGTGTGTGTATGTGTGTGTGTGTGTGTGTGTGTGTGTGTGTGTGTGTGTGTGTGTTTTCTTTTATTTACTCGGTAGTGCGAATATGTGTGTAAAGCACCACTCAACTCCTCCACCCTCAACACCCCACACCTTCACCCTCATCACCACACACGTTCACCCTCAGCACTCTACACCTACAACCTCACCACTCCACACCTTCACCCTCAACACCCACCCCACATGCTCACCACTCAACACTCTACACCAGGGGTCACCAAACTTTTTTCACAGTGGGCCGGATAACTGAAAGAATGACGAGCGCGGGCCGCATAATATTTAAATTTAAATTGTATCACAACGTCTCGTGTTCCATACGTTTTATCAAGCAAATTCAAGTACCGTCGGCGGGCCTGATGAACTGGCGTCGCGGGCCGTAGTTTGGTGACCCCTGCTCTACACCGACAACCCCACCACTCCACACCTTCACTCTCAACACCCCACACGTTCACCCTCAACACTCTACAACGACAACCCCAACACTCCACACCTTCACCCTTAACACCCCACACGTTCACCTTCAACACTCCACACCTTCACCCTCAACAGTCCACACGTTCACCCTCAACAAACCACACCTTCACCCTCACCACTAGACACGCTTACCCTCAACACTCCACACCTTCACCCTCAACACCCCACACGTTCACCCTCAACACTCCACACCTTTACCCTCAACATTCTACACGTTCACCCTCAACACTCTACACCTACAGCCTCACCACTCCACACCTTCACACTCAAAACTCCACACCTTCACCCTCAACACTACCACACCTTCACCCTCAACACTCCACACGCTTACCCTCAATACTTCACACCTTCACACTCAACATTCTACACGTTCACCCTCAACACTCTACACCTACAACCTCACCACCCCACATCTCCACCTTCACCACTCACACGATTACCCTCAACAATCCACACCTATACCCTCAACACCCCAAACGTCCACCCTCAACACCCCACACCTTCACCCTCATCACCACACACGTTCACCCTCAGCACTCTACACCTACAACCTCACCACTCCACACCTTCACCCTCAACACCCACCCCACACGCTCACCACTCAACACTCTACACCAGGGGTCACCAAACTTTTTTCACAGTGGGCCGGATAACTGAAAGAATGACGAGCGCGGGCCGCATAATATTTAAATTTAAATTGTATCACAACGTCTCGTATTCCATACGTTTTATCAAGCAAATTCAAGTACCGTCGGCGGGCCTGATGAACTGGCGTCGCGGGCCGTAGTTTGGAGACCCCTGCTCTACACCGACAACCCCACCACTCCACACCTTCACTCTCAACACCCCACACGTTCACCCTCAACACTCTACAACGACAACCCCAACACTCCACACCTTCACCCTTAACACCCCACACGTTCACCTTCAACACTCCACACCTTCACCCTCAACATTCCACACGTTCACCCTCAACAAACCACACCTTCACTCTCACCACTAGACACGCTTACCCTCAACACTCCACACCTTCACCCTCAACACCCCACACGTTCACCCTCAACACTCCACACCTTTACCCTCAACATTCTACACGTTCACCCTCAACACTCTACACCTACAGCCTCACCACTCCACACCTTCACACTCAAAACTCCACACCTTCACCCTCAACACTACCACACCTTCACCCTCAACACTCCACACGCTTACCCTCAATACTTCACACCTTCACACTTAACATTCTACACGTTCACCCTCAACACTCTACACCTACAACCTCACCACCCCACATCTTCACCTTCACCACTCGCACGATTACCCTCAACAATCCACACCTATACCCTCAACACCCCAAACGTTCACCCTCAACACTCCACACCATCACCCTCAACACTCCACACCTTCACCTTCACCACTCCACACCTTTACCTTCAACACTCCACATGTTCACCCTCAACACTCCACACCTTTACCCTCAATACAACACACGTTCACCCTCAACACTCCGCACCATCACCCTCAACAATCCACACCTTTACCCTCAACACTCCACACGTATACCCTCAAGACTCCACACCTTTACCCTCAACACAACGCACGTTCACCCTCAGCACTCTACACCTACAACCTCACCACTCCACATCTTCACCCTCAACACCCCACACATTCAAACTCAGTACTCAACACCATTACCCCCAACACCCCACACGTTCTCCCACAACACTCCACACCTTCACCCACAACACCCCACACGTTCACCCTCAACAATCTAAACCGACAACCCCACCACTGCACACCTTCACCCTCAACACTCCACACCTTCACCCACAACACTCCACACCTTCACCCTCAACACTCCACACCTTCACTTTCACCACTCCACACCTTTACCCTCAACACCCCAAAAGTTCACCCTCAACACTCCACACCATCACCCTCAACACAACACACCTTCACCCTCAACACTCCACACGTTCACCCTCAACACTCCGCACGTTCACCCTCAACACTCTACACCTACAACCTCAACACTATAAGAGTTAAACTCAACACTCCGCACGACAGCCTCACTACTCCACACCTGCAGCCTCAACACCCCACACGTTTACCCTCAACACTCCACACCTTCACCCTCAACACTCCACACCTTCATACTCAACATTCTACACCATAACCCTCAACACTCCACACCTTCACCTTCACCACTCACACGATTGCCATCAACAATCCACACCTTTACCCTCAACACCCCAAACGTTCACCCTCAACACTCCACACCATCACCCTCAACACTCCACACCTTCATTTTCACCACTCCACACCTTTACCCTCAACACCCCAAACTTTCACCCTCAACACTCCACACCTTCACCCTCAACACTCCACACCTTCATACTCAACACTCCGCACGTTCACCCTCAACACTCTACACCTACAACCTCAACACTATAAAAGTTTAACTCAACACTCCACACTTTCACCCTCAACACTGCACATCTACAACTTCACGACAGCACACATTCACTCTTAACACCCCACACGTTTACCCTCAACACTCCACACCTTCACCCTCAACACTCCACACCTTCATACTCAACATTGTACACCTTCACCGTGAACACTCCACACGGTCACCCTCAACACTCCGCACGTTCACCCTCAACACTCTACACCTACAACACCACTGCACACCTTCAACCTCAACACCCCAC